GAGTATTTTCCTCATAGAATTCAGGTCATATATGACAGTACCCCCCCTCCCCCCCCCCCGAGACCTTGCTTATCTTTACTTATCAGTTCTTCTGTCCCTCTTTTTCTCTACATTAGACATTTACTCCTGAAAAGTCAACAGGTTTGTACTTATCAATATTTTACCTTCAGCTGTAGATTTTTGATCGGAAAGGTTAACTTACCCATTTTATGAGCAGGTTAAGAGACGAGAATCATCTAAAGAATCAACATGACGCATTCAGTGTTTTTCAATACCCACATGATCCATAAAATCTTTCGCCAATAGAGCTAAATTTTACGGATATTTAGTCCTATTATATTTAGATAACAAGTTATAACTCTGATACTACTCTTATTAATACCATAGAAATTCTACTAACCTATTTATCGCTTCTCCCGATAATTGACATATAATTCGATCCAATTTCCTCATTTAGTTTTCCCTTATCGCATTCCAATTTTTTTGCAGATCAACCGAGCAAAGTACTGGGACCTAAGAGTGAAAAGTACATGTGACAATTTTTCTGGCAGCTTCTTCTCTGCAGTGAATTGGAGGTCAGTTTGTTTGGTTGTTTGTATTTTTTTAAAAGTTGCTTAGCCAAAAGGTAATGGTAAAAGGTAATGCTTCATCTATAAAGGTTGATCACTGTGGTTAATTGTTTATTCCAGGCTTTTGAAGCTTCTTCATAACTGAACAATAGTCTACACTGAATCAACGTTAGGTAAGCTTCTCGACCTCAGTAGACGCAGCTGTTTTTGCTTACTATGAATCTAGAAATGTTCATTCTAAGAGGAATTCTTGCTTTAGCAGTCTATATTCTTTCTCTTTCTACAGTTAATGTGAATTATTGGTCTGACTACTTGGTGTTAAACACCAGTTAATGCAGACCTTTATCAGGACGTAGTACTCGGTAATGCTCGATATTTGTCGATTGATTAGTTATGATAATCGATAAAAATCGATAATCACAAATTTGGCTGGAGTTCCCCAATTTTTTTTCCATTCGAAGCTGAACTAACGAGCGGTACGTCTGTTGACTCACTGAGTGGTAGAACTAAAGATTTGCTGAAAGGAGCATGAACTCATGACGGAAAATGACACGAGTCACGTTACATTATTGCTCTTATGGTTGTGTTTCCTATCGATTTGAGTACATGCAGTACCCCTGAGTACCCTGTAGTGACGTACAAATTTGTAGGGTCAATATCAATAAAGCCAATAAAGTGTTATGGATATGTTTATTGACTTTGATATCAGTTACGAGTTGCTGTTTATCAGTAATGTTCTAGCAAGTGACAATGGACTAAACACAGCAGAAAAACGAATCAGCCAACTTGGCTTTGCCCATTTTTATCTTTTTCGATATTTTTCAATCAAAATCAATAAAATCAATCGTTTAATTGCAGAAGTTGATAATCACAAAAACTTGACCGATCGATTTCCATCGATTTTCGATATTAATCGATAAATTATAATTGATTTTGATTGATTACTAATGATTTTAATTGAGTATCGAAAATATCGATTTGTTACTTTCTGATAATGTGTAAGTCAAAATTTATTAAAATTCGAATTACGGTTAATCCCAGACAAAAATGTACCAATTGTGTCCAAATATCCCTACCCGGAGTACCAGTAAGTTGAAAAGGGACCACGTTACCTATCAATGTAAAGGGAGTGTTTTTGGGGGGCAGGGAGGCAGGGCATGGTGTGGGGATGTGACATTTTTCCAAAATTTGTTGTCAAATTTTTCTGCCCACATGCAAATCATTCCAGTCAAATGCACCAAAATTTCCTAGAGCTGATAAATTTTATCAGGGTTGCTACAGTCAGGGAAAAGTCAGGGAAAAACAAAAATTTTTCAAGGTCGGGGAAAAGTCAGGGAATTTTTTACAAAGTCAGGGAACTCTGTTTTCTGGCGCAATGCATCAAGGTTGGCAGTGGGCCTTTAAAGGCAAAATTAATCCTCTCTGAACGTTTTCAACTTGATGGAGTTTTCTGATTTGAAAATAGAGCTTCTGTTTACTTTGATACAGCAGTTTATTAAACGTTTAGTTGATCCTAGTGCACATTGAACAAAGAAAGATTCAAATATCCCCTCCCCCAGGAGAACAAGATCATTCTAATGCCCCACCCCGGTCCAACACACAATCAAATTCCCTTCCCTCCCCACCCCATGCCCTGCCTCACTTTTTGCCATTTATTTCAGTAAAACTGCATGGCTGACCGAGACAGTTGGTATGACTTGGAGTGAAAGACTACTGATGGAATTAATTTCATTTTAACAAACAAAGGTATTCTCTTACAATACCAATCTAAAATGGTATTTCTCTACAGTCCAAGTTCTCTTTTATGTGATGTGTTATACAAGTAGAATGAAAGACTTTGCTTTTGTTAGTCCTCAAAAATATCCTGGCGATTTGCTGGCAGGGAAAGTTATTAGAGATTTTGGTCCAGAGCTAGTTTAATTGCTGACGTTAAAAATGAAGTTGAGATGCTCCTTGTTGGGGAACAGCAAAATATTGAAAATTGTTTAAAATAAACTTAGTGAGTAGCACATGTAGGAGAATAAACTAGTCTTACTGTACTACATTTTTACTGAATGCTTATTCACAAAGTTGAATTTAAAAAAATAATTCTGCTGTCAACAAATTCTAGTACTCCTGCTATGTAATTGCAGACAAAAAGTGAACAAATTCTCAGTGATAGAGATATGTAAAACATAAGGAAAAATAATGTCAACATTAAAGAAATAACTTTTGCTTTACCGGTAGGTTTTATAAACTTGGCAACAACCTCTAAGGAAACAGTGCATGATGACTAAGTAAAATGATTGTTACTGAGTGTAGCAGAGAGAGAAAATGTTCTTCAAAGTGCTTGTTACATCGGGTTTTTCTTTGAAATTTTGTTTTGGCTGTATGAATTGAGGCAATTGTAATTAAGCATCAATTGGCAAAGGATACTTTAAGAGGGTGGTATTAAATTTGCACCCATCATACAGTCGACTCCCAAAAACTCGAACCTTCAAGGTAAATCAAAAACAGTTCCAGTTATTGGGAGCTCAAAGCAAATAACCAGAAGTAAGGTAATGGAATGGGGAAGAAATTCAATTATCTTGTAACTTATTCTTGCTTACTGTCAGTTGCATCTAAGTATGTATACGTGAGGAAAAACCATGTTCTAATTGGGTGCAAACATGACATGTTTTGCCACCAAACATTCAAAGTTTGAAGTAGGCAGCTGTTGTTGACTTGATTTGTTTTTGCTCAACAAAATATTCTTTGCAAGTATTTTTAGGCATTAAGAATAATTTCTAGAGGCAAGTGTGCTGTTTCTTAGTGATAAATATGCCTGACAGTTGAGAAAAATGAAATATAAATGGAACGCAGTGGTAAAAAATGTTCTAATAGAAGGGTGCCAGACATATGAAGTTTGACGGCCGTTAAAGCAAACTGTCGCGCCAATGTTAAGTAGTTAACCATGTTTTTGACCAGCGTATGAGTATGGCATTCACAATGTCGATTATTGCATGTTGAGTAGAACCGTGTTTTGCTGCAAAAACCATATAAAATTTGCTGATCATAGAGAATATTGAATTTTGTAATAAATTTGAATAGTTGGGTAAACATTAGTTTTTTAGCTATTTTGAAAAAATAGCTCATATGTCAGTGGTCTAAGCATATGTATCATTGTGGCTTTGTCTGTTTGGATGTGTGTTGCAGTGGCCAATAAGGTTGAAGGTACTATGAGTTTATGCTTAGGAGCCAATGAGATTTTGGCATCTAAACATGACATTGCTGCACTAAAGGTCAAACAAGGGCACTTTATTGAGACTGCCATTTTCGTTCTTCACAGTTTTGTCATCTTTTATTACCGCAAAAGGTGTTTAGAAGCATAACATTTAAATATCTTCATGATTCAAATGCTGAGTACAGTGATGCAGCTGTTTAAAGGTTCATGATTTTTTAAGTGTGGCTGTGCTGGTTCAAGGCATTTATGACCTAATTTGGCTATCGCGAACAGCACAACGTATGTGAATTATGTTTCACCCACTTCAAAGTGATGTATGATGACTGAAAAAAATATTTTTACTGCGACTGTAGCATGGAGAGAAAAAGGTCCTCAATATGCAAGAGTGCTTGCTACATTGGGTTTTTCTCTGAATTTTATTTTGGCTGTATGAATTGAGAAATTGTCCTTGAGCTTAAATTGGCAAAGGTCATACTTTAAGAGGGTGGTTATTAAATTTGCACCTGTCACGCAGTCGACTCCTGATAACTCTAACCTCATATTTCAAAGGAAATGAAAACAGTTTGCGTTATCAGGAGTTTGAAGCAAATAACCAGAAGTAAGGTAAATAGGATAGGGGAGAAATGCAAATGTCATGTACCTTACTGGGGAAAATCACAAATTTTGATACTCTCTAAATCTTAAAATCCCTATAAATCCCAGCTAAAAACCATGAAATTAAATACTTGCGAAAAGTATAGGGCTCAAATTAAATACTCTGGAAATTAATTAATTGAGAATAAGGTGCACTTCACTTCAAGATCAGCAAGAGATACAGAGAGTGATATTTTGAAAAAGAAATTGAGCAACAAAGCTTGATTAATCAATACAGGGCTAAACATTGTTTTTGAATTGAACCAACAAAAAAATAAAGAAGCTCAAAGAAAACACAATTGTTCTGAGAGAAATTCAATGTTTTTGACCGCAGCTGTCACTGCGTTTTTTTTTAATTCTCATGTGGTTAAAATATGGTCAGAGTTTTTGAGGGTAAAATTGTATAGAAATTATCTGAAGGGAAACAAAATTTACTTCAAGTTAGTGGGAGGTTGATAATTATCTTTTCTTTCTATTATCTAACATTTAATTTGTGATCTTATATTTTGACATTTTAGGGAAATTGTTAATCGAGACATCATGGCACAGGACCAAGAACTTAATTAATAGGAAAAGGAAGTAGTGCTCATAAGAATATGGCAGATGTTCCGCCTACACTCACCCTAGAACTTCCCAAGAAAAGTGATCTTTCTAACACATTTAAACCTTGGAATGAAGTCCGTCTTCCAATTGACATTCTTTTGTTGACAGTAAAGGACTGTGAGTTCCTAGCCTGTTATACATACTTAAGAAATTCCTTTAAAAGCTACCACGTGAACCTTGGATATGTGTACTTTGGGAACATGGGTAAAAGCGGAGATGTGCCTCTAAAAGTTGCTTTGATGACATGTTCTGAAGGCTCTTCTGCTCCACATGGCTCACTGATCACTGTTAAGAATGTTGTGGTGGAACTGAGACCCAAAGCTGTTTTCTATGTTGGCTGCTGTGGTGGGTTGAACCCAGAAGTCACCAAGTTACAGCTAGGTGATGTGGTGGTATCTTCTAAGCTTACAACTGAATCATTCAAAACCCCGGTGGGAAGAGATATCTTGCACCTTGTCAGGCATGCAGATCATGGCTGGATTCCTCCATTAAAACGTCCAGAAGATCATAAAGTTCAGGTCTGCTGTGATGGGGAGATTTTAAGTGGCATAAACCCAGTCAGTGCTAAACAGCAAAACTTGTCTCATATTACTCAAGCTACTGCATTTGCACTTGGTGGTGAAGGTAAGATATTTATTCCCTGTTAAATGACATCTTTTCTCTCTTGTTATGTTTTCGTACAAGAGGCATGGTGGCCCGTGGTGAACATCTCAATCTTCAGATCTAGAGATCCAGGTTAAGGCCTTGCTTTACTTTGTTCTGTTTCCTTAGACAAGAAACTTTGATTCATGTCCCTCTCCATCCAGGTGTGTAAATGGGTGCTGGTTATAATCCTTTGTGATCCTGTTTTCAATCTGATCTTTTAAGATCTATTCTGTTTCGACAATCACGTTTACGTTTATTAACTTCCTGCATTTTCTATACTAAATTATGCATAAAAAACTGATTGGAGGACAGCAGTTTAAATGATGTTTTCCTTTGGATAAAATACAAAAGGATAGTTTAATTCTATTAACATCCTTATGCATGAGCTGGTTTTTTATTTGTTTGTTTTGTTTTTTGGTATTTAAATATGCTGATTTATATGTGCTTTTTAAAATCACTCAGTGTTACCATTTTCTGCCGACCCATTTGCACAGTAAATAGTGTTGTTTATGTTGTCACATCTTCATTATTCAACCCTGGCTGTGATGCTCACTGGTGGATCTGTTTGCATCTTGAATTATTAATTATTTGTTGTTTTTTTCCAGGCCTTTTTGCTGCAGCACATGATCTTAAGATTGAATGGGTGATCGTAAAAGGTATTTCTCACTTTGCCAATAGTAACAACCCTGCAGAAAATTCTTGGAAGAGTCATGCATGCATAATGGCAGCTTCTCTTGTGTCCAACATGTTCAAGGATCCATTTGTGTTCGAACAATGGCCTCATTATGAAGGTAGGTGTCATGCTCCTTTATTAAACCATGTGATAATTAAATCCTTGCCTTTGTACAGAAGGATTAAGTCAGTGTTTTTGGTTAAGTACTGAGGTTGATTTAAAATACTCACTTTCAAACCTCATTAATTAATCTCTGATAATAGAAAAAGGATGGGGTTCAACATTTTTTTGGTCAACTCACAACTATTGGAAACTGTAAAATAAGTAAAAAAAATTATGAGGAAAAGGTTACAAAGAAATTGGTCAGGTGGACACGAGGGAGATGTTTCCTGATAAAATTGACCGGCTACTCATCATACTATTTTAGGCAGTAAGATTTGTGGGTTGGTACTCTGCAAGTGCATACTTAGGGACCTAAAGTCTAAAATGACCCTTCTTTAATTAGAGCGTAAGTTATATCTGTTAGGAGCCTGTAAGGTTGGGTGGGAATTGTTTTTTTACTCAAGTGATTTTTAGTGCCTGTTAGGCATTAAAATGAATTTCTTCCTTGCCACAAAGTTAGATTCTGTTACTTTCTAGTGATACTTTTGGATTTTTTTTTTTACAAAACCCTGTTTTTTGTGTTATTTTGTTTTTTTGTTAATTTTAATTTTATAGAGGGGGGTATCTCCTTTTGGTACCTTCCAGGGGTTAAAGTGAATTTCCAACATGCCCGCAAAGCAAGATTCTGTACCCTCCAGGGATGCTTTTTGTTTTTATTATTATTATTATTATTTTTTTTTTTTTGAAAAGCACCCCTATTATCTTTAATTTTTTATTTTTTGTAAAGCAGTTCTGCTATTTTTAAAGGGAACTATCTCCTCCTCCTTTTGGTACCTCTTATAGAGCTTAAGAGAAGAGACTGGTTAAAATTTGGGGGAAATAGTGTTGATTTGGGAAGGAAATATATGAGGGTAGAATAGGTATACACATAAACCAGTTAGTCTGCTAATGGGATCAGAGGCATCTTGTTGTTGTGGTGGACTATCTGGTAATTGTCTACCAATATTATTTACTTCATATTTTAATTTTTAACAACCCCCAATTCCAATATTTTCCCATTTTTTCAAAATTTTAAACATCTCTCCCTCCCCCCTAATTTTTATACATTAAAAACATTCGAAAAATCATCCGAAAATTCTTAAATAATTAATGACTGCATCTTAATTGAGTCATTTTTGAATTGAAGGAAATCTTGGCTAGATATTTAAGAAAATGAGTGTAAATCAATGAAAAATAATGCTTTTAACCAGACTCCCCCCTTGAAATGAATTTCTTCCATGTCTACAAAGCAGGATTTTTGTACCTTTTAGGGATACTTTTGAATTTTTTATTTGACTAGCACCACAGTTTTTTAATAGAGTAGTATCTCCTCCTCCCTCCCCCCACGCCCTGAGAACACTAGTAACCAACTTAACAGGCCTGTCACTACGGGCTGAGAGGCATAGATTCTGACTGGCTACCCCTGGTTACTTTCATAGGAATTAAAGGAAAATAGGGACAAAAGAATTTCCAGGATGTTCTATTCCCCCGCTCCGCAACTTGAAACCATAGTGACAGCCCTGAATGCTAAGCAGTAAGCTCTCAGCACTGCTGGCTTTATTTTCTGGTTTTAGATCATCCTAGAACTCTACCCTCTGATTGGTTGATAGCTATGATTTTGAAAGGTCCAGTAAATATTTGGGGGGCTTATTTCCTGTTTTGAAAATGTTTTTGAACTGCAACTGCTTACTAGATGCCTTTCAGAGTCAACTCAATGTGCAGGAGAAATCTTGTGTAACCAAGTTTAAAAGATACATTTATTGTCTAAAACTGTGCACACTGCAACCAGGCATCCTTTAGCAAATTAAAATGTCAGTATCACCCACAATTAAGTAAAAGCTAAGATGTAAGCATCCAGTCCCAAGACAAGCTGCTCAGTGCTTTTTGTTGTTGAAACTTTATTATTCAGACCTAGAACCTAAGATGTGGGTAGCAAAAAACTGACAGATTGATAAACATTTTCCCCAAATTCTTTTGAATAACTGTTGTTTGAAATGTCTCACTTCAATTTCTATGCTATTTTGTTTACTCACAGACCCGTCAGCAAGGAAACAGCCGTCTAGCTCTATCGCCAATAAGGAGGAGTTACCAGGTACTATTATATCCAATGAAGCAGAAATGGTACCAGACATACAGTAGATTAAACACGCTTATTTTAATAAGAAAATGACTTTTATCGTTTGTTATATTGCAATACAAAATGATCTTTATTGTAGCAGTTGTTTATTTTTATTTAAAAAATAAGTGGCAAAGAAGAAGTATGATGTGATACTTCAAGCGTCAAATTCTTTCTTTCATTCAATCTTTCTGTTAGAGTTTTGCTAAGGTATTTTTAACCTGCGTTAATCCTCGAGGTCAGTTATACAAAATAAGAATTATTTTTTAGCACTCAACCACAAAAACGTCACTAACAGCTTTGGAGAGGTACCCCTCTATGGGCGTGTCCTCTTTGAAGCTCTGTGCGTGGGGCAATGTTCCTTTTCATATTCCTTCTACGTTTGACCATAGTATATATATTTCTTCATTGATCTCTTTATATTCTGGTGTTTTAAAGCCCTCATATCAACGTGCACTGTTACTCACTTCTCTGTTTGATATCACTGAAGGCTTATATTTTGTGCCGGTCAACTACCTCCCTTTAACTTTCTTCACCTATTAAGATATCAAGTTATTAACGAACAATTCTTGAAAAAAAGGAACGTAAAATTTTCTTTAACAGATTCTCTCTCCCTCGAGGAGTACCAGAAACAGCTGCGATCAATTTATGAAACCAACAGCAAAGTCAAAATCGTTCCGTGGGACGAAAGCTCTGCCGTTCATATCGATGAAATTTACACTCAGTTGTCTTGGCTTATGGATGAGAAGAAGCCCAGCGGAGTAACACAGAAGAAACTCGAACAATACACCGACGTTTTTGACGGCGGAAGACTTCATCATACGCCCAAGCGCATTTTGGTTCATGGACGACCAGGTATCGGCAAGACCGTGTTTACTCAGAAAGCTACATTCGACTGGTCCCAGCACAGATTTAAAGGAAAGTTAGGAAGATTTGATCTCGTACTTTTGGTCAAATTACGCGATGTTTGTAACCTCAACGATCTCCCCGCCATTCTGAGCCATGCTAATCTTCTCGCGAGTGATGGCCGAGTTTCCACTGACAACCTGTGCGACTACGTTCTTCGCCACCAAGGAAAAGTGTTGCTTATTTTGGACGGCTACGATGAATACGTACACAGCGCAGCAAGCCAATCACCTGTTCTTGAGATCTGGCAGAAAAAGCAGTTGAGGGATTGTTGTGTTATTATAACGTCTAGAGACATGAAAGGAGAGGAATTGAAAAGTTCCAGCGATGCTCAATTTGAGATCGACGGTTTCGACCGTGAGCGACAAGAAGAGTTCGCCCGTAGATTCTTGAAAGATGATCAAGATATTAAAGAGTTTTTCAGGTACTTAAAACAACAAAGTCTGGAGGGTGTAGCAAAAATACCAATTATACTTTTAATGCTGTCTTTAGTTTGGAAGGGAAAGGATCGTGAAGGACTACCTTCATCACGGGTGATGTTGTACTTTCAGTTTCTACAGACTATGTTTAATCATATGTCTGAAAAACAAAAAAAGCCGGCGGAAAAAGTTGACGATCACAAAGAAGAACTCTGTAAAGTAGGAGAACTAGCCTTTGACGCACTTCTTCAAGATTTACTTTATTTTCCTCTCAGTAAACTGCCGGATCACGTTTTGACTGAGAAACTCATCGAGGCCGGGTTGTTTCAGCTGCTAAACATGTCCGCTATTAACCCGTGCAAAGCCGTGCACTTCATTCACAAATCCATGCAGGAGTTTTTGGCTTCTTTATTTCTGAAAGAAGAACTGTTATCTCAAGAAAGTAAGAACAATTCCCTTTTCAAAGTCGACTCAATTGAAAAGATCTTCAAGTTGAATGAAGTTTTTAAATTTGCTGCTGAAATGTCCGAAGAAGCCGCGCGCGAGATCTTGATTCATCTGTTGGGGATGGCGGCGAAGGAAGACGGAGAGTACAGCTTCGACAGCGAAGGACCGTCAGTCGAAGATTTGTCTTATGAAAAAAGAAATTTTCTAACTCTATGTACACAGTTATTCTTCTACTGCTCAGCAGACACGAGAACAGAACTTTTCCCCACTTTTCTATCTAATCTAGGAGGTGTTTTCATTTTTAATCCTGAGCAGCTGAATATTGCAGCAAAGGAAAATTTTGTTAAAACTACCGCTTCACTTATGTACATATTTTTCTCTGAAAGCAACCAGTATACAGAGCAAAGTTATAATAATTTAATTAATTTAACACAGCAATTAAACGCTGTTATAGTTAGTAGAACAGGAGAACAAAAAGCATCAGAATTTTTGAATGTATTCCCATGGCGTAGAGTAAACGAGTTTTTTTTAATGAAAGAAGAAAACGACACTCACCTTTATTTTCATAAAATCGTAAAAACTACTGTCATTCCTCTTCCTTTTAAAATGGTAAAGACGTTAGTTAGTTTAGAAGAGACAACAAAGAAGACAACCATGAATGGTGATGAGTCAAGTGAAGAGAGCCGCAGGAGCTGTTGTTCAAAGCGTCATGGTCTCTCCAGGGTTCGGAGGATTGATGCCCGGTATGTGAACAGTTCAGAAGTGGAACAGCTGAGTGAGATGATGCCGTTTATCACCGCTCCACACGTGATATCGGTTGTGGGTCAACTATACGGTGAAGTGTACGATGCTGAGGTAACAGAGTCTCTGCTGAGAAGCATCCCAACAACACAGACACTGGAGGAATTAACACTCCGTGGTATCAATGTAACATCATCACCTGCTGTGGAGTTCATCAACAGAGTATTTAAACAAGATCTTCCAAACTTGGAGGTGCTCAACATGTCATTCAATCCTCTTCTGGGTGCGGGAGTAGACAGCTTAATTAAACATTTCAGCTGCGCTCCTCACCTGGAGGAACTGTGGCTGTTAGATGTGAAGATGACTCCACAGCAGGTGATGAATCTCACATCAGCTGTACAGCAGCACGGCAGCATTACTATACTGGAGATATCCTACCACGTAAGTTTTCCAGTTTCATCGCAATTTGTTTCTTTATTCTTTGTTTACAGTTTATTTCTACTCAGCTCTTGCCTTTCACCATTTTCCTTTCTTTGTCATTTTTATACTCGACAAAACACGAGGTTTGCTTTTGAAAACAAATCACATACTTAAGCGGATTCAACGTATCATTTCAAATTCATTTCTTTCAACTGATTAAACGAACTCCATAAAATGTTTTAACTGAGAACCTTAAGAACAAGTAGCTTCAGCTGATATTAAAACATGGAGTTGAACTCAACAAGAGAAATTTCGTATCTTCAAGCAGCCATAAGGTGATATTATCGGGTGAAAACAAGAACTTCAAGGGAAACAAAAGCACATAATTTCCACAGTATTAGTTTCTGAATCAATTTTAATTCATACCTTTTCATAAAGTAACAAGCAACAATCATAAAAGCAAATCAAAGATGTTCAGTTCATATTCAGCTGAAACAAATAAGCTTAGTTTGACAGCTGTAGAAGGCCTAAGTGTAATAAACGACCCTAAATGTAATAACATTTTGTCCTAAATGTAATAAGGTCCTAAATGTAATAACAATTTCCCCTAAATGTAATAAACTCTTAAGATGCCAATTACAGTAATTACTCGAATAAGCGCCTCCCTCAGATAAGCGCCGCATGGGGGAGTTAATTAGCGCCTCGGCGCTTATTCGTGTAAATACGGTACTAAGCGGTATTACTTTACCCATTTTCTCGTCGGATGAAACTTGGAAAATCTTTACAAACATGCCGTGCCAATTTTTTTCGCATAAGCTGACATTTAAGCGAGAAAAACCCTTTTTTGGAAAGCATCTTTATTGCAAAACAAGAACTGATAACACGTACATTAAGCTTCGTGTACAAGACTTCGCGACTAGTAAGAATTTCTCTTTTAATCAGCAACCTAAACAAAGAGTTTTTCTTTTTTCTCGGGAAAGTTATTTTATAAAAGCAATAGAAAACTTTTTTCCTGTGTTTTCATAGCCTGATATGAACACTCGAGGGGTTGGGAGAATTCTTGACAGTTTAATATGCAAACCCGAGACGAGGTCGAGGGTTTGCATAACTGGATTATAACATAACAAAAGTAAATCGCGCGCTCTGATTGGTCAGTTAGCCACTACCATTTGCCCGTGGGTTCACGCCAAGAAACTGAGCTAGCGCGGTAAAATTTGGGCAAATTCAACATATCTCCTCTCCTGACGGTAAAATACACCGACGAAATGCACAGATAAAAAGTGGAAGTTGAAGAAAATACTAAGCTGTCGTTTTGAAGGAAAAAAGACAAAAGATCAAGCAACAAATTTGCCCTGGATGAATTAATCACTGTTTTCCTCGCGGCTAGAATCGGCTGAAGGAAAATCGAGCGAGCAAAGATTTAAGGTACATTTTGTGTGTTTTTTTATAGAAGAGAAAGTCTGTTTGAAATGTAAATTTATCAATTAGCATTGTGTTATTGACTTTTTGGTCAAGCTGATGCCAAATTCAAGCAAATATTTTAGGAAACACAAGGAAATGTACCGAATTTACGCGAATTAGCGCCGCGGCGCATACTAACTTTTTTCTACAAAAATGCGGCGCTTATTTGAGAGCGGTGCTTAATACCATAGTTATACCGCTTAGTACCGTATTTACACGAATAAGCGCCGCGGCGCTAATTAACCTCATGCGGCGCTTATTCGAGTAATTACTGTAATCGGCATCTTAAGAGTTTATTACATTTTGGGCAAATTAGACTAGTAGCGAAAAGCGCCGGCTTTTTGGCGGCGAAAAAGGATTAAAGTCTAGCTTTAACTAGCTAAAATTTTTTTATTCTTGATATTTTTTACCAACTAGTTGGATTGTATGACCTGTGAGCCAATAGCCCATTCGGGCTCGAGGAATAATTGTTAAATATTCTCGTTTCATTTGGCTGAACGGATCAATCACCCTGATTCGGGCTGAGACAGAAAGGTACGATATTGTTCGCTTTTCTAAGGTGACCACCAAGTCTTTGGACTCGGGAACAGGCTCTTAGGAGTCAAACGAATTAGGTGAGAGCAAAATTGCAGGTGAACTTTGACCTGGGCCAAGACGTAGTTTTTAGCTTAGCTGATGGGCCGCTTGCACTAAGAGGACACGTGACCAATTCTTCCTTTAAACAATGAGTTGGAATCTTGCTGATACCAAAAATTGACAGCGCGCATAAAAATTATCTTACAACCGAAATTCGAGAGGTAACGCATTTAAGGGAGATATTTTATGGCACTTTGATTTTTTAACAAAGTAGTATGATTAGTATTGACCGCCATGTTGGAGGGCATACTCTTGCCCTCCAACATGGCGGCCAAAACTAGTTTTTGCTTATATCTTGTTAAAAGTTTGATAGTTACGCTCAGATGTGCTGTAAATCTTACCACATCATCTTTCCTTGAAGTTTAAGTGCAAAATTTGTGTTCAGAAAGAGGTAATTCATAATTTTAAAAATCACATTTTGGTCACGTGACCAACTTCGAACTTACTCATTTTAAGAAAATGTTGCGGGTTTGAAAAACAAAATCATTGTTATTTTGTTTAAGATATGACCCACTAATTGTTTTTCGAAGGCAAAATCATATAACTTTGATTTTCATAAAAACGATGTCACATGACCTCTTAGTGCAAATGGCCTATTGTACTTTGGAAAAGCGACTCTCGACTCAGGAAAATTGGATCTAGGTCTAGTTTCAGCGGGCTCTAATGGCATTGAACCATAGGCCGATTTTTGCAGATAAGAAAGTGATAATTTGTGTAGTACGTTTCATTCAGTTTGTTGTCTATTCAATGCGGAATCCTGTTGTTTGTCGAACCGCGAAAAAAAGATTGTTTTGCTAACTATTTAAGTTGTTATGTAAGCCTTAACCAGGCACTCTGTCGCTGCAGTTCACTCAACTTAAAAATTTCTAGACTGAAATGACACCGGTTTGAAACTTCGCGAAGTCAGTTTACTGAATAAATGTTCTAAAAGGGGTGACGAATGGTCTTTGCGAGCATTCGCGAGCATGCCGAGCACTGCGATTTTTTTTCGAGCACGAGCAGAGAAAAAATTTGCTTTGCGAGCAGCGAGCAGTTTAGAGAGTGCAACTCGCGAGTAGCGAGCACTTCTTATATTTTCCGCTTGCAGCAATCCATATGGAAATCCTTTTCTTTACAGTAAAACAGGAAATATTTTAAAACGGGGTTTTAATTTAGAGCGCAGCAAGTTCTTTGAAGCTAGTTTGAGTGACACCTTATCGAGATGATATCACATTTCCGCTTCACTTCATCACTAGCCTGTGCCAGGCTCCGAGATAGTCGGGCCCGCGGAATTGAGAAAGCGCGAAAAATAAAAAAAAAACGGGAGGAAACTGGGGAGAGGGGGAGGCGGCGAAATACTCGCGCGAGAAATTTGAGAAAGATTCCAACTTATTGACACATCAACAGCTTGACAGCCGAAATCTAATTATCTCAAAGGCGCCAAAAATGGGCGGAAGAGGGTCGTAAAAGAAATGATTGCAGGCTCTCTCTCCCTTCCTTTTCCTTTTTTTCCCGCCCTGCCCCCATTTTCGCCTGCCCTACACTTTCGCGTCTTCCCCACTATCTGAGAGCCTGGAACAGGGTACTTCATCACGCACGTGTTCGTACGGATCAGAAAGCAAAGGTCACAAGAAGAACAACCGTCTATAACAAACGTATATATCCATATATAGCTGGATTAGCTGATTTATTATTTATCGTTGTCATTTATCGCGTGCATTTCCACTGAACTTGATCGCCATATTTATAGGAATCAAGCACCATACAGAATTACATTTACTTTAACCCAAAGAAGGATTTACGAGCAATACTGACAAGAAGGCGAGGTTGCCAGCAACTGCAAACACTTTGGGAGCACGAGCAAGCGAGCACTCGTTTAAATTTTGCCAGCAAATCGAGCAAACGTAAAATTTTGCGAGCAGTTAAAAATTTTAATGGACCATTCACCACCCCTTCTAAAATTTGCGTCATTTTAAATTTGGAGTCGTTGGAATGCTTCTAGGGACCATTAACTTACTGCCCGGCGTCAGATAAAGGCTTTTAATCGGCCTTTCAATGAGTTTTATTGTTTTAAATTGCCAAGTAGTAGAATGAGTTGATATTTTTGCTAACCCGGTTTCCAAAAATCAAGGTGTATATATACAAGGGCAAAAATTTATCTCAAGAAATGACTGTAAAGACGCTTAAAAATAGTTTGTCAGTTGAACAGTTGAACCTTGTGCTCGTATACTTTTTGACCGTGATCAGGGCAAAAAGCATTTTTCCTCCTTTATGGATTTTTTGAAGCTATAAAGTTCACTTTCCCAACAGGTCGTATTTTTATCAGGGAGATCTTATTCTTTTTGAGGCGAATGATTCTTTTTCCGCTGAAATTATATTGATGCCCCATGGATCACCGTTTCGGTTATGAATAAACTGCAGGTTATAGCTGGCTATTCTCCCTTATGGGAGGCTTTCAGACATTTATAGGCCACAAGTAGCCTCTCTCAGGCGTTCAGCAAGTGTGGAGAACGGAGGAAAGAAAACGGCAAGGAATTAAGAATGTATTTAGGGGGTCCCTCTCCCTTTCTTTCGCTTTGTTTTTTCATATGCCTAGTCTTATCATTTCACGCCACAACCCACTATCTGAACGCCTAGAACGTGGTAGCCAAAAGTGACTTACATTTGTTTTCTTGAAAAAAAAGGCCCTTTGTTTACAGCAAATTTAGCAAAAAATCGCGCTGATGTCACCCATTGATATTTTGTTCCAACCAGCCGAAAAGAATTCTTTTGGAGGATAAATGGAATCAGCCAAACTCGAATATGATTTTTAAAAAAGAGTCATCTGGTTTGGTTGGTCAAGTTTACAGAGTTTTGCAGTAAGTCCATTTACTAAGGGTTTCATACCTTCTAGTAAGCTCACACCTTTAGCAGAACACAGTTCCGGGCTTGTTTTTGATTATACACTGTACTTTTTATCAAGGCAAGTTTTGACTCTTGGTCTTTGCTTTTGGCATGCGAGGCTTATTTTTGAACTTAGTACAAGTTGTTGACATATAAAAAATTGTCTTTTGTTGGTTACTGTAATCGTATTTCACTTAAAATGAAGGTTTTGAAATATGTACACGTCCACACTTTACTAAAAGGAGATGAGTAGTTTTAGTATTGTTTTGTATTTTGTTGCAGGATCATAAAGGGAACCCCAAACCTGAACATGAATGGCCATCAGAGGTCCACTGGAAATGGCGTTTCCCTCTTCTCTTTCCTGATTCATCACCTGAATCAGCGCATGAACGGGAGCAGGTTAGACATCACTGAATTTTTTTGAGAGAGTTTATTGATTTATTTTGTAAGACTTTGAGTGTTTGCGTGAACTGAGGTCAATTTTTCTCCCCGTCAGAGGTAATTAAACACGCAAAGGAACCTTCGTTTATAAGCCTCCATTACGGAGGATGCCGAATTGGTGATAATGGTGATAGCTAGTTACAGTAAAAAACCCGCGTGTAAGAAACTAGTGGTTTAAGCAACTGATGACAGAAATTTGCTTCTTTAATACCCAACAATATAAGAACCTGTTTGGCCAAACAAGATCAAGCAGGTTCTTCTTATGTGTGGGTTACAGTTAAATTATTAATAAACTTATTCATTATATGAAAAAGAGATGGAACAGAAACTGAGTCATCAGCTTCGTTTGTTTAAGTTTATTTACTTAATTCAGTTTTATTTTTCTGTCCGTCAGTGATAATCATTAATAAGCCTTTCATTAATTACTGGAGATTTCCGAGTTGATGGTAGTTAATCACGACAGTTACGTTAAAACGTTTGGAAATGGGAACCCGTGCATTAAGAATCGTCTTATTTAATTGTTGCAGCCTTTCTAAGAAGCCTCTTGCTTGTACCTGGATGGCTTGATCTCATTTCTGATTCATCATCTGAATCAGAGATGGAACAGAAAGAGGTTATTCATCGACTTCTTATTTCAAGCTTACTTTATCTTTCTTCTGTTTCTTCTAAGTTTTTATTCCCTTGAACTAAATTGATGTTGGGTTCTGTTAAAATTAATTGCAGATAAAAATTGGCTACTGTTCTCTCGCAGGTCGCACTCAGTTGATTTTAGGCCAAAAGTAGAATGTTTCCCCACTATCTGAACGCTTGGAACAGGCTATCCAAAAGCGAATTTTGCCTTGGAAAAAACAGATTGCCTTTTTTTAAGCTCAGTGTTTAGGGAAGATGTCACTGACAATTTGTGCCAAGTAGACCTTTTGACTTTTGAAAAAAGAGTTTTGTTTAACAGTTGGTAGGTCAACAAAGAAATTAGAAACTGACACCTTATCTGTGATTTAAAAAAGGAGTTCGTTATTTTCTCGTGTAAAATTATGATGAAGTGATCGACAACTCTCCATCTGGTTCGGATGGTTACAGTGTTTTGCAACTACTCCAGTCACTAATATAAGGGTTTTGCACCTTGTAATTATCTCACCCCTTTACCAGAACTCAGTTCCCGGCTAAATTTGCCCATCATACACAAGTTTTAATTTGATAATCTGCTTAGTCGGTACGAGCGGCCTGTTTTGAATTTAGTACATCTTGGCAAAGTTTTTGTCAACCCGGCACCCCAGTTTTCGTTGCTCACTTAAAATATCCTTTGTTTATGTTCTGTAATCCCATTGTACCTAAATTAAGGTGACTTGACCTAGTTTTTTTTTTTTTTTTTTTTTTTTTTTTTTTTACCATCCTACTTTCGAGCTATCTGGCATCCCCACCTTTACTTTTATATTAAGTCAAACACATAGAATGAATAACATATAGATCAATCTACAATATAACACAAAATTTTTGGCGATCGGAGTAAATGTCACGTGGTTATAATGCCACGCCCCTTTGAGGGCTGAGTCGAAAATCTGCTGTTACCGGCATTATTTCGTGAAAATCTCTCGGCTACACATACTGCGCATTAGTGCCTTGCGCTGAACAGAGTTTCACCAAAATCGCAAAGACCCAATTCGAGAAATTCAGCAGTTTCCAAATTTAGGTCATAATTTATGCAAAAATGATAAGCAAACTTTACACGGATTATATCTAATAAACTATGAGATTTATCTGTTTATTTTGGGCATCGTTATAACAGATGGGTCCTTATAAGTCAGCAAAACGCTTTAGGGCCTTGTAAATGCGCGCGATTTCGAGCAAAGCAAACATATAGAAATTATAGTTTTCGCTATTTGTTGACGTTTGTCAGCGTTTAAGAGTCTTTCTCACGAAAAAAGCATTTTCTTAAAAATTCGTAGTTTTTTTTCCTTCAAATTTTTTCAGGACCACAATTGATTACCCGGACTCTGAATTTCATGGTCATTGAAAAACTGTGACATTATCTTCTATAAGCCCAAACTTGAGTAAACATTGAAGATTTTTAGCGTTTTGGCTGAGTTTGTGCTTTGGGAGTTGTCTATTGTTTCTAGTCTGTCATTATACAGCATTCTTGTTCAGCACGCCTCCAATGACCACGCTTGGGTGACTTCCGAATGCTCACCGAGATATGATAATTTAGTATAAGAAAACAGAAGGGATTCCCGTCACGAGTTGGTTTAATTATTGGCTTTCATTAAACCTATGAAAAAATGATATTTTTTTTTAATAGTAAGTAGATTTAGTGTGTAGCACTTCTTGATTTTTTTGCAAAGGCACAAGAAGCACGAGAATTGATTAAAAATTGTGAGTTAAACCTCTATGTATCACACGATGGCCTGTCTCACTGTACCAAAATTATCATATCCCGGTGAGCATTCGGAAGTCAGCCAAGCGCGGTCATTGCACGCGTGCTGAACAAGAATGCTGTATCATGACAGACTAGAAACAATAGACAACTCCCAAAGCACAAACTCAGCCAAAACGCTAAAAATCTTCAATGTTTACTCAAGTTTAGGCTCATAGAAGATAATGTCACAGTTTTTCAATGACCATGAAATTCAGAGTCCGGGTAGTTAGTTAATCAATTGTGGCCCTGAAAAAATTTGAAGGAAAAAAAACTACGAATTTTTAAGAAAATGCTTTTTTCGTGAGAAGGACTCTTAAACGCTGACAAACGTCAACAAATAGCGAAAACTATAATTTCTATATGTTTGCTTTGCTTGAAATCGCGCGCATTTACAAGGCCCTAAAGCGTTTTGCTGACTTGTAAGGACCCATCTGTTATAACGATACCCAAAATAAAGAGATGAATCTCATAGTTTATTAGATATAATCCGTGTAAAGTTTTCTTATCATTTTCGCATAAATTATGACCTAAATTTGGAAACCGCTGAATTTCTTGAATTGGGTCTTTGCGATTTTGGTGAAACTCTGTTCAGCGCAAGGCACTAATGCGCACTATGCGTAGCCGAGAGATTTTCACGAAAAAATGCCGGTAACAGCAGATTTTCGACTCAGACCTCAAAGGGGCGTGGCATTATAACCACGTGACATTTACTCCGATCGCCAAAAATTTTATGTTATATTGTAGATTGATCTATATGTTATCCATTCTATGTGTTAGACTTACGATAAAAGTAAAGGTGGGGATACCAGAGAGCTTGAAAGTAGGATGGTACCCCCCCAAAAAAACTGGGTCGAGTCACCTTAAGGCTTTGAAATGTGTACACGTCCAAATTTACCTCAAGGAGGTGGATGATTTCAAGTATTGTTTTGTATTTTGTTGAGGGATTTTGTTTAACTTTGTTTAAATTTATTTACTGTAATTTATTGTATTTCATCTTAAACGAAAATATTGTAAAGATTTTTAGTGTTTCAGTCCGCCGGAGATGATCAAACACACTCGGAAGCTTTTGTTTATAATAAGGCCTCTACATTACAAGTCTTACAATGATTTCCAACACTGAACACTGAATTCATTCAACTAAAATCCTGAAATACTGCAACGAAATTCTTCCATATAATATGTTTCCCTCCGACGTAGCTGAGTGCATCTTTAAACTTAAGGCTGGAAATAGTTAAGCTTCAAGGCCTTTTTAACGGAGTATTCCTTATTTGCGTGTAGTTAACTACGTTGTGTGTGATTGTGATTGTGTTTTTATTTTGTAGACCCATAAAAGGCCATCAGAGTCTCGAAGAAGAAAGAAATGTTCCTGCTGTATTATCATGTAAATTACTGTGCCAGTTAAACAGCAATCTTAAGTACTGTCCATCCTTAAAGACTAAATTATAAAAACAGCGGTTTCTGTTTGAAACCAAGCTCCTGAGGTTATTTTGACTATTTTCAGATTTTTGTCTTCAATCGGTCATTTTCCAGTTGCCTCAAGCCTCTGTTTCAAAGCGAGGCTAAGTGCGAAGCCATTGATATGAGAATGATTTTTTATTCTCATACAAATAAACTTCATTTTTACAAGAAAGGTTTTGAACTTTGCCTCGTTGCGAAAGTGAGAGTTTTTGGAACTCGGAAATGGCCAATTGCGTTTTGCGGTAACTGAAAGAGTTGAGAGAGTCGTGGTGCTCAATAAATTAGACTTCGAGTGGCGAACTGGAACAGAAAATGACAAATCCACTTCCCAAAAACAGAAGAAAACTCGGAAGCGTTCAAGAATCGTGTGTCACCACTTGCGCAAAGCAGAGCTCCCAGGATTACAGGGCTCGAAAGAAAATCCTCTAGCAAGAATTGGCGAGTAAGCACTTCTCGAGTGGAAATTTGAGAGGGAAGATGATCATTGTTGAAGAATTTTTACCATTTTGTGGCTAATAAGCAATGCATACATTGACTGATTGTACGAGAGGAACGGGTCGCATGTTAGTCACTGCTCATTTGTTTTATTTACAATATTACAATGTACATTTTAGCCCGGCACCGTGATTTATACTCGGTTCTACTAGGTGAGTAAGCCGGCTTTTTCCGCTTTATCCTTCTAGACTGTCTAAGAAACCCTACATTTTTGGGATGGTTCTCGACCTCCAAGACAAACAATAGCCTCTGAATTTACTGCTTTTGCCAGTAGAAAAATTCTTACAAGCAAAGCTTTGCCATTGAACTGAAATTTAAGATCGAGCCCTGTAGGAACGAGCTTGCATTTTAGCGGATTTCAAGTCATTTTGTAATTTTCTGTTCCACGATCCTTTGTGTTTGACAGTATAGAGTTTTAGATCCGAGTTGACCGCGAACCTCTAACCACTGGGGGTCACGTAACAAGTCTTTCGCGTCACGTTACTGGTGGGATTAAAGCGACGTCACGTGGTTTCTCAGGGTCGCGGTCACGCGATCGCAGAAAATTGATAATTTTTCATCTTAAAGACGACGATGGCAAATTATGGGTGGAAATGATCATTGTTACTTCTTTGGATGCAGTGGCGACTGTATATGTGGCAGGTACAGAACACATGATCACATGTCACAGGACAAAAGAAGTAGTGTAAGAGCTGCTCGGAAGGTCTCTCCTAATTGGTCGCAGGAAACAATGACATTCCATTCTTTCAATTGTTTTAGTATTGTTTGGTTAGGGTTAGGCACCCAGATGTCCTCACAGCAATCAATAATGACGTACAACTTGACGAAACTCGAACCGTGCATTTTGCATCATCGTTTCGTTTTGAGAAAATAAACAAACTCGACCATTTTACCCCCTGAAATACCACGTGACTTTGCTGTTATCCCATCAATCCTCACGGTAGTAAAGCGCGTGCAAAGATGACGGGTATCGTAGTGAAATAATGAATGAGGTCTGTTTCCGTGCCCATGGTTCGTACAATCTTGAAGAGGTCTTGAATTTTACTAGTCGTCTTGAAAAGTCCTTGAAAAGTACTTGATTTCTTTATTAGGTCTTGTCTTGAAAAGTCCTTGAAATTCACAACCTTTTTTACGCCAGACCACTTTTTTTCTGTTAAATTAGATTATTTTGCCGGGGAACATTTTCCAAAGCCTTGTTGCGGAAAAGTGGTAAAAATATCGTGATCCATGATGGCCGAAAAAGTAAAATAGGTAAATGGTTCCATGACGTGTTTTTGCCAATAGGGTGATCAGAGGGGGTTAAAGAATGTCGAGTTATTAAATAAATCTTAGTCCTTGAAAACTGAAATTTGTCCTTGAAAAATCCTTGAAAAGTCCTTAGAAATGTGTTTGTCTGGAGTTGTACGAACCATGTGTGCAGGAGATAAAACCGTCCCTAGCTAATTGTCGCTATGGTAGTTGGGGAATTAACTGGTTGGTTTGCCTGTTTTCAGTCAGATGTTTCCATTACTTGCTGGTATTTTTTATTACTTCAGTCTGTAAATACACATCCTATATTGCTTATTAATTAAATGAAAGTGCTTTCTTGATATTTGCCTGGTTTTGTGAGAACATAAGACTATAGTCAACCAATGGTTTCTCAATCTACACCCTCTTCAGATCTTAGTTCCTTGTAATGCGGGCTCAGCCTCCCGGTGCCAGGCCACAGTAATGTTGGAGAGGAGAGAAAAACCCCTGAACGTTTTTCAGAAAGTAACGAAAACAAGATGAGCAAACATATTAGAGAAAGGCGTATTAGAGAAACTGGGCTTTTTACATCTTGTCCTCATGAAACCACGGCAGGGGTTGGGCCGGGGGAATTCTCCTAACTCAATATGTCGCTTTGTACTCTTTTTACACCTGGTTGTCAAACCTTTAGGGATGAACGTCACTATATTTCCCTGAATTTTTATTCAAAAATCACGTTCCTGTGTCTTTCATACAAATCAAAAACAATAACAATCTCACTCTGGTGATTATCATATTCGGAGTCCAATTCACAGTCCTCACATTTGAAGTCAATAGGGAGTTAGAGCAGCGACCTTTTTGAGGGACGCTCGTCAACCAGAAGTAAGCCTTTTTCTTTTTAATATGTCTTGGCACCACCAAATTTGTATTGCTAAGTGTTCTTACTCTTAAAGAACGATTTGCCCCAAAATTTGTTCAAAATCACGGCTCAAGTGTGCAAAAAGTCCAGTTCCGGTTGACGAGCGTGGCTCAAAAACGTCGTTGCTTAAGGTTCTCCTGAAAATAATGACAGAAAATGGAATTTATTCACCTCCCATGAAGGTAATTTCCAACACCATTTTGTTTGGTTATTCTTTGTCTTCTTTGTGCGGCGCCCTCATCAAAATTGCGCGCGAGTATCACACGCGATGGTACAATTATTTCGATGGAGCTACCCCGTTACTGGAAAAGATCAGAAGGTATCTAGTTGCGTTCCTGGGCAGTACCTAACGAATGAGCAAAGCCACATCACCCGGTCTCGACCCAAGGGCGTTCTTTTTGGGGATCGTCAAAATATGAAATATCAGCAAGTCCACAGCGACAAACCAATCATCATGGTTTAGCCGTCTGACTGAATGAACCACGGACTCTAGCTCCTGGAATAGGTTCAATTCAATTCTATTTCACTTAAAGGCTCACAATTGTAGTGGATTACTTTCACATTAAAGATCGCGCTTCGATTCCTGGGCATGCGCGAACCATATTTTGCGTTCCATAATCTCAGATGGGTTTCAGCACTCACATTCCACACTGTGCTGGTTTCATTACTCAGATCAGAGAACTTGTCACTGTTAGAAGTAATATTTACTATTTACCTCACCCATAAATCGCGAAAGTTCCTGAACAAGTAATAGGCATGAAAACCATTTTTCTCCTGACTCTATTGAGCGCGTTTTACGAGTACTGCGAAAGCCCGCGCGCGAAACGCACGCGTCAATCGAGAGACTGGGTTCTAAACGAAACGAAACCTAGCTCCGAAGCCAATATGGCGACGGATTACTGACCAGACAGAACGCGTGTGTAGTAAACTAGATCAAAAGTAACATAATTAGACTTCTGGAACTCGGATTTGTGCTTCAGCAGTTCTTTTACTTACTCGTCAACACTTGGCTTTATTTATGATCTTAATATTCTCGCACGTGCCATGGGGGAAGTCGTGAAAAATCTGGCGCCGGTCTTGTGAGGTAAGCTTATGTTTAAGTAGCTTAAGTTAAACTTAAGCTTAAAAATTTGAGACTAGCTATGGTAAAGGATTAAGTTTATGGCTTAAATCATCAAGTACATCCAGCAGAACTGTTACAAATTAAGGTGAAACATGAAATTTGGAAGGTACAGAAATACACGTCACGGTCACAAGTACAGGTCATTGCTATGTTGATAAATAACTGAAATAAGCTCATGAAGAGAGTTTTTTCTGTTGGCGATCTTTGTATCAGTTGTGAAATTGATGTGTATGGATCGGCTTATTCTATTTTGCGTAACGAAACGAAATATATGGGGTAGGGATAAAGAATGCTTAGTATCCTAAACATAGGCTCGATTACCAGCCGCTGTTCGGGAAAATGAGCCCACACTCATCCCCCGATCAAAGACCGGACCCGGGAGACGGTGGAAATCGAGCCTACCTAAACACAGTTTAAGACAACACTATGACAATGTGTTTGGAAGTAATAGTTAACGGAAAATGACGGATTTTTACCTGTCTCGCAAAGTAGTAATTTGGCCACAATTACTATTTTGCGAAATGGCGTTTTTTCACCTTTATTTAGCAAATATGCCCTTTTCGTCCGAAACAAAATGTGTCCACCAATAAAATGATCAATGTTTCCAAGAGCCTGGTCACCTCTCATTTTATTGACCGTACTAGAACTCGTTTCACAAAGTAGTAATTTTGCCAGAATTCCTATTTTGCAAAGTGGTGTTTTTTCACTTTTATTTAGAAAATATGTCCTTTTTGTCCGAAACAAAATGTGTCCACCAATAAAGTGATCAATATTTCCAAGAGCCTTGTCACCTCTCATTTTATTGACCGTACTAGAACTCGTTTCACAAAGTAGTAATTTTGCCAGAATTACTATTTTGCGAAATGGCATGTTTTCACCTTTTTTTAACAATGTCCTTTTCGTCCGAAACGAAAGTAGTAATTATGTTTATTTTTATAGGAAAACATACATACTGGACATCCAGTTTGCAATGTCTGGCTAAAGGCCAATTAATTTACCAAACTTTAGCTTTAAAAATTTCAAGTTCAAAGATTTAAAGCAGGGTGCTTCTTTATGGCTGGAGAATGGTACAGAAAACTCTAATCTTTGTTAAAATTTAGGTTGCTGAAACTTACATTTGTAGCAGGTGATGACAGTCTCCCTGGTCCTTTCTATCTTTATTTACAGTGCCGTAGCATGGGGAGGG